ATTTTCACCAGGTTTGGCACTCCTAGGGCAATCATTAGCGATGGGGGAAAACATTTTTGTAATAAACAATTTAAGGCACTTTTAAGTAAGTATGGGGTAACTCATAAAGTTGCAACTCCATATCATTCACAGACTAGTGGCCAAGTTGAGGTTTCAAATAGAGAATTGAAAAGGATTTTAGAAAAAACTGTTAATTCTTCTAGAAAGGATTGGTCATTGAAACTTGATGATGCGCTCTGGGCATATAGAACAGCTTTTAAAACTCTTATTGGTATGTCTCCATATAGGTTAGTTTTTGGAAAAGCATGTCATTTACCTGTTGAACTTGAACATAGAGCATATTGGGCAATGAAATTTTTAAATTTTGAGATGCAAGCTGCAGGTGAAACAAGACTTTTACAATTGAATGAAATGGATGAGTTTCGCCATGAAGCTTATGAGAATGCCAAAATTTATAAAGAACGCACTAAAAAGTGGCATGACAAACACATTCTGAAGCGTGAGTTTGCTGTTGGTGATAAAGTGTTGCTTTATAACTCTCGGCTTAGACTTTTTCCAGGGAAATTAAGATCCAGATGGTCAGGTCCTTTCATGGTGACAAGAATTTTCCCTTATGGTGTGGTGGAAGTATCTCACGATACAAAGGGCACATTTAAAGTGAATGGTCAATTGTTAAAACCCTACATGGATGGCGGATACAACAAGCATGTAACGGCCATTGAGTTACATAATCCAACTTGATCATCTAAGGACAGTCAAGCTACTGACTATAAATAAGCGCTTCTTGGGAGGCAACCCAAGCATTTTCTTTTCTTTTCTTTTCTTTTCTTTTATCTCTTATTTATTTATTTATTTTTATTCTTTAGGTGGGTAGTGTAGATTTCATTATTTAATTATTATTTTTTTTTACATGACCCAGGTTGAAGCATTTCAACCCAAGTTTCACCTTCCAGTGTTCAACTGCTCATATGGGGAAGTTTTTCTTCTACTTACAATACATTGAAAATGATGATAACTTGAGTTTGGGGGTTTTAATTTGTTTTTGGCTGTTCAATATCTATTTACTGTGCTTGATTCTGCTTTTACCATTGTGGATTTTAATTAACAAGGAAATTCCTTGCTACTGAAATTTGGTAATAGAGCTCTCATTTCATGACACTGGGTTAATTGTTATGCCCTGCTTATTGTTAGCATTGTTTTTGACATGAAATTGAAGGTGTTTGGGTTGAATATTGGACTGCCCATCTTTAGCAGAGGAAGTCTAATTGCTTCTTACGCTTGAAATTTGTTTGTGGCTTTTGAGCAAACTATCTATGGGTTCCGAGCAGGCTAAGTGATGAGGGAATGATAAATTGTTGGGTCATGCATGAAGAAAAAAAAAAAAAACAGAAAGTTCGTCAACTTTGGGTGAATGTGATTTGCTTAATTGCATAGTGTGGCTTATACACTATTTCATTGTTCCTAATTGTTGGACAGGGCATTAAGCAAGTTTGGGGACAAGATTTTAAACATGTACATGCTAGACGTCTCCTTTCATTGAAGACAGTTCAACTCCAGCACCCAAATCTCAAATTTTCAAGTGCAGAACCTGGGAAGTTTCTTTTGTCTTATACTTTTATTTTACATTGAGGACAATGTTTGATTTAAGTTTGGGGGAGAGAACTTTTAGCTGTTCATTCTTATATTAGTTTGCATATTTGCATCACATGCATTTTTTTTATTAGGGTAATTTTTTTAGGAGTTGGTTCAATTAGTGTCAAGGAATTGAATATTCTGGAGTTGGTGGTTCAAAAACTTCTAATTCTTTAATTCTTAGAGGAGATACAAAATCTGAAAAATAGCACCATGGTGATGAAGTTTAAGTTCATGAGTATTTTATTCTACTTGAGCACAAGTTTGTAGTGAGAAGTTTAGAGAGAAGACTT